AAATAAATAAATAAATAAATAAATAATGGTGCTGGGAAAACTGGATATCCATATGTAGAAGACTGAAACTACATCCCTATGTCTTACCTTGTAAAAGAAAAAGAAATCAAAATGGATCAAAGACTTAGGTATAAGATCGGAAACTTTGAAACTGCTAGAAGAAAACATAGGGGAAACATTTAAAGCCATGTACACAGGGAAAGACCTCTTGAATAGGACTCCAACATCACAGGAAATCATAGCAAAAATCAACAAATGGGACTTCATTAACTGAAAAATCTTCTGCATAGCAAGGGAAACAACAGACAGAGTGAAGAGACAGCCTACAGGATGGAGGAGACCTTTACCAGCTACTCTTTTAAAGGTGGGTTGATATCCAGAATATATAAAGAACTCAAAAAATTTAACACCAACAAAATCAAACAGTCCAGTCAATGAACGGGCAAATGAATTGAACGGACACTTCTTGAAAGACGTACCAATGGCCGGTAAATATATGAAAACCTGTTCAACATCTTAGCCATCAGGGAAGGGCAAGTTAAAACTGCACTGAGATTCCATCTCACCCTGGTCAGAATGGTTATCATCAAAAATGCAAACAAACTAACAGCAACAATGAAAAAAGTCCAATACATCCTGGCTAGGATCACCACTATGGAAATCAGAATGGAGGTTCCTCAAAACACTGAAATGGAACAAGTGTATGACCCAGCTATACCATTCCTTGGTACACACCCAAAGGAGTTAAAGTCAGGGTATACACTATGAGGAATCCTGCATACACGTGTGTATTGTGGTGCAACTCACAACAGACAGATATAGAACCAGCCTAGGAGCCCCTTAAAGAATAAAGGGTAAAGAAAATGTGGAGTATTATTCAGCTGTAAAGAAAATTGAAATTGTCATTTGCAGGAAAATAGATGGAACTGGAGACCATTATATTTCACAAAATAAGCCAGACTGCTACAGGCAAGTGCTGTATATTTTCCTTGATATGTGGAATCTAAAGCATGATACCAGTGGGGAAATGAGGAGGTAAAGGGAAGGCGTGTGAGGGAAAGTCATGGGGGCAGGAAAAAAGTTATTAATTATGTCATTAAGACATAAAGGTGTTGACATGAATTTATTGAGGTGAAAATATGCCCATTATATTAAGAGAAAAAGGTTATGAAGCAGTGTACGTGGCATGTCATTTTTATATTCAAAAGTGCATTTATACACACAGTTACCAAGAAATCATGTTCACTTAATCCTTCAATCTGTCTCTGGGTGTGGATGCTGAGCACATCTTTCTCTTGCACTTGTGCTGGTATGAAATGTTTAAACAGATAAAGCTAAGAATTCCTATAAGGAGGGGCCGGGGGTATAGCTCAGCAGCACAAGCACCTGCCTAGCAAGTGCAAGGTCTTGAGTTCAATTCCTGGTACCAAAAAAATAAATACAATGAAGTTATAAAAAAAAAGAATTCCTATAAGGATGTGAGGAGATAGATATGCTGATTAGCTTGACTAGTAATTATTTCACAATACATATGTATCTCAGAACATCATGTTTTATATCTGAAATATATGATTTTATTTGTCAGTTATACTAAATAAATCTGGAAAAATCCTACACGATAGTCTGTTTTGTGCGTCAGCCTCTGTGTACACATCTGTGTGTGTGTATATGTATATAAAATGTTGATAAAGACTTTTGTAAGTGTCAGCATTTTACTCGCATCATAAGAATGTGCTGTAACTTGTCCATTCATCACAACCACATTCTTTGGCAGTCACGAGGTAGGTTTATGAATTCAATTTGTAAAATAACTCACTGCAGCTGAACAGAGATTTCACTGAGTAGGAAATTTGCAGTGAGTTTAACAAGAAATGGAAGAGTCATTCATTGAACAAGTATTTATTGAGTACCTGCTGATTCAATATAGAATAACCACATTTCCTTTTGTGTTTTTTTTTTGTTGTTGTTTGTTTATTTTTTTTTATATGGAAGCTGGGCTTTCACTGTGTTGCTCAGGCTGATCTCAAACTTTCAATCCTCTTGTCTCAGTTTCCTGGATAGCTGAAATTACAGGTACTA